GGCGACCCGACAGCTTTTTGCTTGCTATTGTTTTTACAGCTTATTTTTCTTTATGGATGATGGCGCGCATTTTTCTTTTGGAACGATCCCTTTTTCCTACTTTTCCTACAGTTGGGTTTGTAAGCACGGTTGGTAGCTCGGTGGCGTAATCCATGCATGTCTGTTCTCTATCTTTATTTCTTGCTCTGAGGTTTGGCCTTATTGCGGTAATAATAACATATGGCGAAAGCTTAAAGTGAGTTATATTTTAGTTGAATTCGAGGTCAATGTTTTGTATTACAATTATTGGATGTTTATTTTTTGTTTAAATATTCACCTTTCAATTTGTTTACTTTATTGTTCAGTTAGTACATTAAGGAACGTCTGGAATTAATTGGGTGAATGCTTTGGTAAAGTTCGTTAATAAATCAGGTCGTTGCAATAAAAAAAACTCGTGATCGCTGCGTAAGCTAATTAGTTTCAAGATAAGAAAACACAGGTGTTCGTTATTTATTATGGCCTGATAGAAGCAGAAAATACGACTGTGTGAATTAAAGTGAAATAGAAAAATTGTGTCAATGTATTTAATGTTACTAGTGTGAGAGATAAAGGTACTACCACTCGTCTGGCTTCACTAATAATATGCTTGTTTCCTTTCCAGTTGCGAGTATATAGTTCAATGACTAAAGGTCATCGTGGTTGTGGTGTAAACTACAGGTCTGTTTAAAAAACGGGCCAGTTATCAGAAACAGGTCTGATCATCAGAATCAGTTCATCAGAAACAGATCAGTTAAATTAGAACAGGTGTGTTTTTGATGAACAGATCTTTTTTTTAACAGGCCCGTTTTTTTAAACAGACCTGTAGTTTAAACAACCACGACCTTTAGTGAGTTTAGACCACGCTTGAACCTCACGTCTGACTCGTCACGTGACTGTCTCGCATAGGGCTGTACGTGACCTAGAAAGTCACTGGCGCCCTGCAAAACCACGCCAACTTTGGCTATGGATGCACTTCTGGGATTAGAGCCTTTACACTTAGCTGTGGAGGCAGAGACTCGGAAAGCCACCATACGGCGATTGGGACGAGTGGAAGGATCGAGGTAGCCGTGGGCACGAGCGATCCGATCCCCTCCTCGCAAGAAGCGATGTGATCCGGATCCGGTGTTCGTTCCTCAAACCTGATGGGCTCGTGTCGTTTACAGACGGGTCCTTAACCGAACAGGAACCGGGCATGAGTATATATTATGATGATCGACCGAGAGCTGGCTTCAGCTTCTCCCTTGGTCAGGGCAGACGAGTTGGTTCGTGAAGGCAGGGGTGGGGCCTTCGTCGAACCCCAGCCTACCCTAGGAATTTCTCCCTCCGTTGTCACGACTAGGATTAAATACTGAGGGACTAGTAAATTGCAGGTTCAGTGGCAACAAATATCCGGAATGAGTCAGTCCAGGGCCTTTTTAACAGGGCCCCTTGGCAAATCGGGGTCTTCTAAGCTTCTAAAACTGAATAGAAGCCAAATTAGGAAGATCATCGGTGACCTTACGGGGCACTGGGCTATCACCTGCATAACATTGGGCTTGTGGAGGATCCCACGTGCAGGTTATGTGGCGAGGCAGATGAAACTACCAAGCATCTGGTCTGTCACTGTGACGCATTGATCAAACTCCTTGGAGACCGCTATCTGGACGTTGGGGGGGGGGGGGTGATTAAGAGGAACGCGCTCTGAACCCGGTTGCGAAAGAAAGATACAATTTTCGTTTTATATTGAACAGTTTTAAACGGTACCACAAAGAAAAGATCTATTCTAGAAATCGCTATAATTAAGGTACCGAAATTTTTTTTATTTTTATATTTTGTATTATTAATAATCGGTTCAAAGTAATTGCCTAATATTTTATTGATAGTGTAAGAAAATTCTTAAAGGAGTCAATCTGTTGTCCTCATGAAGATGTAATTTTGGATGTTTCATTTGTTAAATTGTCACTTAAATGAGAAGATTCCTATATATGAGCTCAATTTTGTTAGCTATAAGGTGTTTATTTCTCGTGAAAAAAATGTTCATACTTTACTTACGATCATTTGCAACTTGCTAATTCCAAGAGGTATTTTGAGAAAAAAAAATTGAGGAGCAGCTGAAGAATATCCGGATAATCCGGATGTTTGGATTATCCGATTGTCGGAATAATTTGAATGTTCGGTTAATCCGGATAATCTGGATGTTTGAATTATCCGAATGTCATAATCAGAGTGTCCGGATAACTTAGATGTTCGAATAATTGTGATTCTGGTTGCAAGCTTTAGGAATTCATAGAATTTATGGAACTCATGGAATTCTTTTAGAATGAATGAAGCTTATTATCAAAACGGGGCATTAATGAGTTCGTTTTAACATTGCAATTGAAAAAAAATATTTCATTGTTTAAAATTGATTAATACGTCAACAGAGATTGGAAAAATGAACTTTTTGTTTCAGCCAGAAATGGTACTAGCAGTTTTGAAAAGCACACTCGCTAAAAGGTCCTCCAGCGAGACGGCAAATACTTCAATTTCAATGATACTTCAATGTTCTGTTTAACAAAAATATCCAGTTGCGCACCCATACCACTGTAGTAGCTGTACAAAAACGCCATTTACAAGAAATGCAATGTTACGACACAACAGTCTCCTAGACATTATAAAATGGATTAAACAAAAATAGAACAGACAACCCCCCCCCTCACACCGGTTGGACACCTTGTATATTCCACCGGTTTGGGATCATGACCTTGGAATTTGCCAAGTGTCGTCAGGTCATGACCTTGGTTTTTGGTTAAAGGTCGTGGTCTGGTATTTTGAGGTTTCCTAGTTACATAACTAAAACGTGACTTTGTTTTGTGGTGCAAGGTTGTGCCCTGAGATTTACCTGACGAAGATAGCGTTAGGATGCTAAAGTGGTTTTTCTCTACTCGGAATATCTTAAATTTTATCAAAATTTGATTAATACTTTAGCGTTAGTTTGCTAAAATTTCAAATCTTACAAAGAGCGACCAACCATGTAACACCATGGCCAGATCACGGTCCGGTCAAGGTGCGGTCAATTATTCTAGCGTGTATTTCTTATGAACATGTTCTGACCGTGCCCTGACCGATAATGTGAATCGGTCACGCTATTATAATTGACCGCACCGTGACCGGACCATGCTCTGACCGTGACTTGACCGATAATGTGAATCGGCCTTAAGGGTTGTGTATACAGGCTGATTCAAATTTGAGGGTCACCATGGGGATCTCGGAAACTGGAAGAGTTAGGTAGATAGGTACCAAAGTTGTTTAAAAAGATACTGCCATTTTTTCCCTTTTACAAGGTGCTTGTTTTAAATTTTAAGACTGACGTTTCGTCTCCGGTTAACTATCATCAACTTTGTTTGTTCTTATGAAAGTCATTTGATTTTTTCTGTCAAAAAGATTTTTTCGTAGTCGGAATTTTTTGTTGAGTTTCAAAACTGCATTTTCTTAAGCATCAAAATACGCATCCTTGTCGGTGAGAGTGCTTAGTATAAAATTGGAGAATATTAATATTGGAGCAGCTAATTCCGATTTACAAAATTTATCCAATAATCAAATCTTAATAAAGTGGAAATTACTTCACGAAATTTCGCATGTCACCTACTTTCACATTTACAACACATTCCTTTTCATAAACGGGGTCGCTTAAGATAACAAAAAGTTTTTATAATCAAAAGTCAGAGGGATTCGTCGCTTCCCGGATGTGCGTACGTATAAGTTCCATTTAATTCCGGCTCTCTCCCTTAGGCTTCTTCTTTGATTGCATATTACGTTCTTGTTTAAACGGGCTACCAATTTTTATTAATCCTCCCTTTCTTTAGTCCTCTCGTCTCTCATGGCCCGGTATTCAGTATAGCGGTTTTAATTAATATTTTCGCGTCGGATAACGGCAAGTCGTGCATGCATATTTATAGATTTCGTGTAGCGTGCATCGCCGGAAAAGCCATCCGTGCATATTAACGTAAATAGTATGGCGAAAGGGCACTATCTCTACTTCTGTTTGACTGAGTTCTAAACCGGCTGATTACAGTTTATGAGGGATGCTCGAAATTGGCAATGCACTTTGTTACCGATGGATAAACGTGAAATTTTGAACAAGAATTTATAATAACAATAGTAGCAAAACAGAGAGGTATAGAAAATTTCAACTATGGCTCATAGGCACATTTCAATCATTAACTGCTCATGTGACTAACTAAATTCCGACTTTGATCCTCGAAATTAATTTGTGTTTTCTGCTTCGTGTAGTATACAAGGAGTTTCGCGAGAACGGTTTTTATGCGGCCCTGGTGTGTTTGTTGACGAGTGGTCTTAAGTACGGTCCTGGCTTTTTAATTGTGTGCTAAACTGCTTAGGGTCGTGAGAAATGACGTGATTGTCTAAGGTTGCCGGAAAATTTCTGTTTCCGTCAGAATCGCTATTTTGTTTTTGTGCTATAATTAATTCTGCTCAATGGACAGAAAAACGACTAACATGGACTAAAGTTATAGCTTTCAAATGGACTGGAACATGGAGAAAAATTCTTACAGCGCCAATCTAACCGGTGATAAGACGATCTTAATTTTTTTACGTGACCAAAACAGCTGAATCAGAATAACGCTTGAAGTACATTTGTTCGGACGGAATCGACCCCAACTGGTCGGAAAAAATTCCGAAGTTGAGTACTATCCACACACTTGTCCGGACGGAATCGTCCCGGACCGGAGAGAAAAAATTCCAAAGATTACTTACGTATATTTTGCAAATCACGTACAAGTATTTTTGTGTGTCGCGCCATTCTTTGTGCAGTACAAAGATGAAAACCATCAGCTCGGAGGAAAACATCTCAATTGCTGCCATTTTCGTGTACACATCTGCTTGTGTGCCACTCAGAGCTGGGTACTGCTCGCGAGCGTTCCGCGCGAAAAAGCGCTTGCTAGCGGTCCGCTCGCGAGCACTTTTCGGAGCGGCCGCTTGGTGCTCGATACTCGAGCGTTTACTTAAAGTGCTCGGCGCTCCAGCGCTTTTTTTCTGCCCACGAGCGGTTTTCCGCTCATTTCCGCTCGCAAGCTCTTTTTTCGCTCGCGAGTGCTTATTCCCCTCGCGAACGGTTTTTTCCGCTCTCGACCGCTTTTTCCGCTCCTGAGTCATTTCAGCTACGATTTCTAGTTGCAATGATATTAGGGTTGCACCTGAGCGGCCCGGGTTCGATTCTTTGGTAAAAAAAAAATTTCCCAAAAATGAGTAGGTGAGTGCCCAATTCAGCGAATTTCGGAATTGGTTGATTGGTATGTTTAAGGTTTTCTACTTAATTTTTGGATGGGAACTGGGCAGTATCTGTTACCGAGGGTCCGATTAAGAGAATCGTGTTCTATGGCCGGTCGGCTGCGAACACTTGTTCGGACGGAATCGGACCGGTTGCAAAAGATTCGTTCCGGGTCGATTCCGTCCGGATTTAGCACTAATGGAACTCAAATAAGAGAACCCGTAATTAAAGTTTGTAAGTGAAAAAATTTAAGAGCTGTAAATAACCGAAATTTAAAAAAACGCGCAAATTATCAGCACGTAACTGTTTTACGTAACGCATTTTAAAATATAAAGTGTGAACAACATAATGTTGATTCAGAGGAGGCAGTGGAAATCACGTCAATTGTAAGCAGGTAAGTAGATATTAGATCTACTTGCTTGTGCAGTTAAACCAATTTTCGGCTGCCCCATTCCAAAACACAGTAACCAACATTTTTTTCGAAAATGAGTTATCACCTTCATGTAGATACTGTGTTAATTCTGCATCTTTCCAGCCATCCAGGATAGCTCTATCTATTGTCGTTACAGGGATAAATTTTACCAAAACCCAGTATCTGCACCAACTAATTGAATATACCATTTTAAAACACAGCAAGTGAAATTTGCTGACACTAAACCACAGGCAAAACACAGTATGTGGTACTTACTGTGTATTGGCATAAAAATAAAATTAAAAATTTTTACGAAAATTCAATCATAACACAGTATGTGGTAGATACTGTGTTTTGGAATAAACTACCGCATGTCATGCGCAAAATGAAACCAACCGCCCACCACTCTCAAGGTGAGTCTACTTCATAGATTCACACTCTTGAGATGTGAATTTGTCGTCACCTATTTTTATTACTTGCATTTTTATATTAAATTGAACTTTATGGTGTAGTTACTGTGTTTCATTAAACCATCTATTCATTTCAAAACACAGTATGTACCTTTTTTCGAAAAAAAATCAAAAAATAAAAAAAGTAAAAATTTGTCTAAATTCTAAACCCTCTATAGGTCCCTTATTCGTTTTAACTGAATGTGAGAGTCTTCACATATTAGACGTGCATGTGGTCAAAGTTTTTCTTAATTTACTGAAAAGTTAAAAACAACACATACTGTGTTTTGGAATGTGGCAGCCGTTTTGTCACTGAGAGAATTACAACTACACATGACCAATACCGATACCGAATCGTCTTTCGAAACCTGAATCTGAATCAAAATTTTGTTGTTCACTCGTTATCTACCGGAAAAAAAACCGCCTTAGTGATAACGTGTACAGAAGTTTATTTTTGGTCAGTAAATAAACATTAGAAGAGGAATATTTAACGCAGTTAATATAAGAAACGCAGAAATTTCGTTGGAAGGTAAATTAACAGGACGGTGCGTAAACCCATTCCGATAGTATCATCGTGGAGGTTCAAGAAAAATGAAAAAACCAGAGGGCTATTAATAGTTTTAACACTCTTCCATCAGAAGTTTAGAATGACAGTTTCAATCATTGAAAAATTCCTCTTCGAAAGCGAGAAAGGCATTGTCGTATCATAAAGAAACTATCAAATCCAGGAAACGCTATAATTAAGGTAACGAAATTCTTTTTGATTTGTATTCCAAATAACTATCGGTTCCCTTTAAGAAATTGCATTAAATTTTATTGAAAGTAATCAGAAAAATTCTTAAAGAAATCGATTTTTTGTAAATTGGCCGACTGGAGCAGAATGGAAGGGTTCAATGAATGAAGGTGGTAACTAACAAAATATGAATAGTGAGAAAATCCAGTTGGAAGTTTGCCTTTTCATTGTCCTTCACAATTCCATTCATCTTAACAAACTAACAAATACACGGATTTGTGGTATGACTTCATGATAGTATTATCGTAATAAATACGCCAATAATATATGTAACTCCAAATTTTGAAAAAAAAAGTCAGATACCTCCTTTATTCAGGAAATAGGGCTGAAGACAGTGTTTTTTAATTAGGGAACAAAGTCCCCATAAATTCCACCTATGGAAAATTTACAGGATTCAATTGAAGTAGTAAAGTTTGAAAAGACACAAATAACGGAAACGTGGGTGTATTCAGCGCATTGCGACAAACATGGAGCACGTATCTGTGTGCGTGTTTGTTTAAACATTGGGGTGGGTGGGGTCAACATGTGTGTGAGAGGGTGAGGGTGCGTGAGGGTGTGTGTGTGTGTGTGTGTGTTTAACACAAATTAATTGCGAAACGTTTGGTTATGCTGTTCAATTATGATTATAAATACGCTTGAATTGGTTTCAATTTTAACATTTATTGCTGAAGCACAACGAATATTTCTTACATATGAAAGGAGCAGTTTTTATGGTACATTGTTTCTATACTGCCTTGTCTAAGTTCGTCCCAATATGGCAGATGAGCGGACATTAAAATAAGTTGTCGCCATTGTCCTAATACATACAGTCACTGTAACACTGAGTACCTACTGATTGGCCATCGGCCCTAGCTAGTCGGTACGCATACACTCAACGTACATACATACAGTTGGTTTGTGAGAAAATAAGTAACTTCTGGGGGCCCTGGAATCTTGGACCATTAAGATCGTTGATATTAGTCAGCTAATCGTGTAATCACTAGAAAAGCCATTACCAAAAAGGGATTCTCTCTTTTAAGTTGATAAGTAAATTTTCACTTTGTATTTCGCCATCAGTAAAGCAATTCACAAAATTTAAACATAATAGATATTGTGTCAAGTGTTTTATTCTATTGATGAGGTTAAGATAACCGAAAATTTTTCTTAAATTTATATAATGTCAGAGACCATTACACCCAACAGCTTTCGCTTCCTCATCACATTTTCGACATGATTAATTTCCCTTATGATAATAATATAGCGAGAGGTTAAAGACGATTTTGAATACAAGAATTTTATTTATGCCGTTGCTGACGCCTTTGAATGGTTACTCTTTCAGATCGAGACTCGAGTCCCTTCCTTTCACCAATCGGATTATCCTCATCCTGATCCTTATAAAAGCAGGACATCAAAATTAGTTGGGCAAAACTGAAGATTTCACTTCCAGTTTGCATGTTGCTTCCCATTTAAAAAAGTGAAAACTATGCAGCTACAGCAGCACCATTTATGCCTATCGCCCCTATTTCAGCAGAACATAGTGAACGATCAACTCCCTCCTCAAATCCAATAAATCTGACTATTTGCAGCAATGTGTTCTGATTTTTATAGAAGAATATAACGTATCGAATACTTCCCCTGGATAATGTACAAATAAGCTTGTTTAGCAACAGTCCAGTAAAGTAGGAACAGGACCTTAAAGTGATCTGGGCGAGGATCTGGGGAACGCTGGTATTCGTTTTAAAACCTTAAGATAGTCTAAGCTTTCTTGTACCCCTCCAGGGGCTGAACATAACTGTTGGTACCTCAAAAACTTGGAAATTTTCGGACTTTCTTCAGTTTTTCGCTCCTAAAGCGCCTTACTCAGAGACAAATTAAAGAGCATTAAACAAACAAAACTATAAAACTGAACCAATTTATAAGGTACCTAAACACTGGACGGCCGAAGGGCGGCCATTTTTTCCATATTGACGAACATGTACGACTTTCTGTCGTCTGTCACGTATAAAGATAGTGTTGACATATGCTCCATGTCGGCCATGTTTTTTCGAATTTATCATTGAGCTGATTGGTTTAACCGAATTAGTAGATTTTGCTATGGTTACAATAATATACCTAATGCTGTCACCGTACGCTTGTCCAATATTCACGAATTTTTAATTTTTTTATTGCCTTTATTTTATAGTGGGCGGAGTGTTAGCTAATAACTACCCTTCTCACTCAACCCACTATACAATCCATAGATATATAAATACAATACAATCACAAACAACCATGCCTTATCTGGGATTCGAACCCACGACCCTTGTAGCCAAAGTTACAGCTAAGAAACGTAAACTCACCTGAATTGCTGTTGAAAAGTAAATTAATTTGCAAAATAAAAATTTCACATCTGATTCGCGTTGTTGCATATGAGGTTGGCTGCGACTGCCATGGTTACCTAGTTACGTATATAAACAACAAAAAATGCTGCGTCCGTAATTTTGAAAGCAATTTTTGTGTCGTTTGGCTTTGTTCAAGAAAGGAAAATGTTGGATGGGAATGAAGATGATGATGTTCCCATGGAGGGAATAAAAGAAGCTGAAGATGCTCTTAAGGGGTTAGTGCCGGCGACCTCAAAACATTATATGAAAACGAATACTCCATGTTTTGTAAATGGCGATCGGAAAAATCCTTGAAGATTGTGAAGGAAAAAATTCTTTTGGCGTATTTTAGTGAACGATCTAAGCAGGGAAAACCGTCTTATTTGTGGACCTACTACTCCATGCTTAGATCCATGCTACATGTGTGCGAGAGAAGGTATTATTTATACACATTATTATCTATTAGAATTTGAACAATACTAAGACGTTCCTTTGAATTATAGTTATGGGCAATTGAAAGCGTTTTTAAAAAATAAGAATCAGGGTTTTAAGCCCAAGAAGTCTAAAATTCGCCATTCACTGTCTAAAGGAAATCTGAAAAGTACCTAGATGTATTTCAAAATGTTGTTTTACACACAATTGCTACGACAATGGATCTGTATCACAATCTACAAAATGAATGAAGTTAAGTATCGTGAAAGAAGACCATTTTAAGAAATATAACATGGTTACCGTCTATGAAATGTCATTCTCGTTCCTTCTGTAGGTTTTGACTGTTATATTACCCGATTGACAGCTAACCTTTGTGTTTCACTTTACCGTAATTGTCAATTAATTGTCAAAGTCCTATTGTTCTGACAGAGGAGATTAGATTTTATAACTCCCGTTGTTT